CTCTCCAATCCTTCATAGATTGTTGGAGATACTTGTGCATGTCTTGGGGGATCTGCGCTTTGAGATATGAGGATTTGAAGAAAGACCCTATGAGGCCACGAATTCTCCTTTGCAAGCTTCTAGTGATGAGCAATATAGAAGACTTACCCATCAACTCAGTGAGAGATTTGGGGTAAGAAGGCACAAAAGCCTTGCCATCACTTTGCAAAACAAATCTACTCACTTCTGCATCTGTGGACACAATTGTGGGACTTCCAAATAAATGTGACTTGAACACCTTCCCATACCTACAAATAAAAATTTCTATCATAATTCATGTAATCCCCAAACTTGGTTTCATCTTAATCAAGCTATTATGTGGGTTTTGAGTCTAGCCAGTTTAGTGCAGCTTATTGTAAATTAAAAATTAATAATTAAAAGGCAAACTCATCTATCAATTTTTAAATAATTAATTTTTTTAAACTTATTTAAACTATTAGTAAAAGTCTAAACAATCTAAAATAGATTCTCAAAATAAAAAATAAAGAACTCAGATAAACTCTATCAAACATAGACATACATGTGACGACGTCGGTCCATGAAGGTCTCAGGGTGGTCTGAGTAAGCACAGGAGATGAAGGAGATGGTTTCGCAGAGAAAAGGTCATCCAAGAGTGCCTAAAGGAAGTGGGATTGGCGATCTTCTACAACTCCTCCTCTTCTACAATTTGAGTACCTGTTGCAACTGTGATTAAAGCAGTGTAAAGCAGCCCAATAATGAGCAAGCATAAAAAAAAAATCACAATTTTTGTGCTAGAATGAAGTTCCACAACAAGAGTGCCCAGGTAAACCGCCAGTAAGTAATGATTAGTACAAAAAAATTGAGGAATGACAATCTCTTGACTACCCGATTTAGAAAGGTTGCAACAGATTTCATCAGAGATATGAACAAAGCTATATTTACCAGTTTGCCCATATGCAAAACAAGTTGCTTTGGTCCGCTGAAAAATTATTGGAACAATGGGCTTCATAGTTTCGTGATAAACCTATGGAAAGATAAGAAAACCAAGATTAACTAATGCCAAATGGCCTAATAAATTATTTCCATCACATCAAAACCATAAGTAGCTTGTATTTTCATTTTAGTTTCTTATTTTTGCTTGTGCAGCGTACTCACCTCATCATTTGAGACCTCTTCATTCAGCACTACATCAAAAACAAATTCATGCTTTTCCATAAGATTCTGTTAGGTCAACCTGCTGAATTTTGAGATATAAAACTTTTAACAACATATATGAAGTTCGAAAAAATTTGAACACAATCTATAATTGGGATAGCTTTGATATGAAACAGGCCAAAATAAGAAAAGAGAATGGTAAAATAAAATTATATATGTTCATGTTATATAAGGGCAAACAACAATGCATACAATTATACTCAAAACAAAGAATGAGGGCAAGGAGCTTTTTACATCAAACTGAAATTCCAAAATAGTTAAATTTGCATTAAATTTGCAGTATAAGGCTTGACATCATTGTTCTTTTTCCATTAAATAAAATTGTGCCTATATCATTTGTAGAAAAAAATCAATAAACAGCAAATGCCATAACCATTCTGTGAAATTAAGAACAGAAACTTAGAAGGGGTTGCTTCAGAAAGATATTCCACCCTAACAAAAAAGGATGTTTGGCTATGACAAAAACAATCTTCAAAGTAACCACTTCAAGAAATGGCATGAAATAAACCTCTCCAGTTCACTGCTAAAGTGATAATAAAGGCTTTAATTATTTATTTTACAACAAATAAGAAACGTAATCAAGCATTTACTAAGAGAGAAAACCAATGGAAAAATAACACTAGAATCAACTTACGTACATATTTTGGAAAATTGTATAAAATGTAAATAAGGATTTGAACCTAAAGCATATGACTTCAGATATTAAAAAATGTTCAAAATTTAACAAACCTTATCTAGAACTCAAACATACTTTACTGTATTTCCCTGAATGTAGCATTCTGGCATTCTCCAAAACCTATCTCATCCTGCATTGAATTTTCAGTTTTAGGTTCAACAAAAACTCATAAATAAGCAAAGGGACAAAATTGATTAAAAAACATAAAATACCTTTGACGTGCATATGACTTCACGAAGATGGATATTCATCCAAGTATCACAATTCACCAAATTGCCATTGTATGTTTCCCCATTTTAAAGTTCCACCAACTATCAAAATTATAGCATTAATTAGGGGGCTTAAAAAAATATAATATGCTGTTACTATAAGTTTGCTTCACTTCTTCAAGCTCCACCCCTTGCTAACTAACTGACAAACTTAAACTCTCAAAACCTAACCCTCCATGCGATTATTGGAAATTCCTAGGAAAATAAGTATAAAAATGCTCTCAAAAGACAGGACTCTCACCATAGGATGCCCCTGTGTAGTCTTGAGAAGAGAAAGTCAAAGCTGAAATAGAAACAACAAAATCATTAAAAAATGATAATACTGATCACCAAAGTACACAAAAACAAACCAAATCATTAAAAAATGATACCAGAGATCTCCAATGATACCACTTTCCTCTGGTCTCATACCACACACACAGCCACGCAGAGAGAGACAAAGTGCACAGAGATGGCTGCACGGTGGTGAGGTGGTGGTTGGAGTGAAACACAGATTAGAAGATGAAAAATGAAAAAACATATATATTGGAAAAGAGCATTAAGCAATTTTGCCCCCCTAAATTAGTTCCAACACAACATCACATGCCTAAATAATGCATGAGCTTCACACACTCTTATTTTTGAATTAAGGGTTTCTATTAATTTCGTACTACAAGGACCACGGGGATTTATGAGGAAACATGTATTTTAGAATGAAAATCTCATATCTAAAAGGATATTGTTTCAAATGAAAATTTTTAATGAGAAATTTCAAATCATAAACATATATTTTCGAATGTGAAATCTCAGATCTGAAACATGTGTTTTTGAATAAGAAATTCTAGATCTCAAACATATTTTTGAATGAGAAATCTCAGATCCAAAACATATGTTTTTGAATAAGAAATCTCAAATCCCAAACATATTTTTGAATGAGAAATCTCAGATCTGAAACATATATTTTTTAATGAGAAATCTCAGATCTGAAATCTTAAACATATGTAAACCCCAGGAGAAGAATCGACGAAAGGAAAAGCTTGAGAGAGAGAAGAATACGAAATTGAGATTGTAGACAGTGGTGCTCACCTTAGTCCACGGTGGTGATGGTGGTGGCGATGGAGCTTCGAAATCGAGAGAGAGAGAACTTTGAAATCGAAATCACTTTTAGATTGGATCTGAGATGAAACCAAGCTGAAGAAGGTTGAATCTTAATCTTTGAGACTGAAGGGTTTAGAGAGAGAGAGAAAGCGATCGAGTGAGTGAGAGATTTGAGGGATTGGCTTCTCTGAAACTGAAGGTTTCCAGATTCCAAATGGGGGCCTAAAGAGAGAGACAGTGAGAACGGTTTTGATTCTCACAAAGCTAAGAGAGAGGGAGAAATAACATTGTAACACATGTGAAGGCGTTAAAAAAATGACTTCTATTCCTTAAACGGTACCGTTTTAATTAAAATAAAGGGCGACATTTATAAAACGTCACTAAATAAACGCCGTTGAATTCTATATTTCCTATAGTGTAATTTTATATTTAATTTTATATTTAATCTAAATTTATTTATTACAAAATATTTATATTTAATTTAAATTTTATGTATCTATATACAATATGTATTAATAATTCAAAAAGAATACATAATTAATTTATGTATTTTGTTCTTAATCCAATCACAACATATTTATATTTAATCTTTTAAATAAATTTTGTGTAGTTCGTTTTCTACATATTTTTATTTTCTAATCTTCTTAATTTAATTATTATTTTTAATATCAAAATGAGTATTTATTTTACTATATTATAATTTAATATATATCATATAAAATCATTATGTGATATGTAACGTCCCGATATTTATATTCTATTTTATAATTAATAAGCAATTTATTTGAATATGAACCATTGGGAATATCTGAACGTCCTGTTCTTACATCAGTTTTTTCGAAACCTTCCCAAATTAGTCTTGAAGGAGCAACCATCAATCATAACACCTTTCAAATAGGTATAATTTCTTTAGAATCTCTATTAGAGAAAAAAAATTCAGTTCTCCTTATTAAATAGCAACCGATTTCACTCTTTCTTTTTCGATTACTTATGTATAATTACACCCTTTTTTCCCCCCCTTTCTAATCCTTAGGTTCTACACACTTGATGAAACAACAGTTCTGCAGTTTATAGATCATCATAGACTTTTTATTTTATTCTTCGACTATAATAATTAGTCTTTCTCATTATGACTTTATACATTTATCTTATATAGGTATTAATGATTTCCAGAATAACACAACCCACTGGCACTAAAGATGGTAGTTAAACAACTTCTCTTATTATTATTTTTATTATACACCTAACTAGATAGAAACTAATTGTTAAATTCTATTTATACTCTCCATAGGCTTTGTTCTACGCTGTAGAAAGAAGAAGAGAATCACAAAAGGAGATATACCAGTTGAAGCCTTTGTTTTACCAAATAGACCATGTTGTTCTTTCTGTAATGCACCCAAAAAAAAAATAATAATAATAAATAAATAAAAAAAGATCTCAAGCCAGATGGTTTTTGTTGTTCTGCTGGTGAAACTGCACTATGTCCTAATGTTGTTCCATCTCAATTATATGACTTGTTCACAAGTCATTCCAAAAGTTCTCTTCATTTCTCGAAGTACATTCATGCCTATAATAATTCATTTGCTTTCACTTCATTTGAGGTTACCACTGACAAACAATTAGAGCGTTGAAATAGAGGAATCTATGTCTTTCATGTGCAAGGACAAGTTTATTATTATATCAATTAGCTTTATCCTTTAGATCATAACCTTTCTTACTTACAACTTTATTCCTTTGACACTGAACACGAAGTTCAGAATAGGATGAGGATTGCCAACAATCTAAATCCAAACATCAATGCTCTTTTAATTGATATTGTCACTTCAAATCCATATTCTATATTCTTTGGAAGTTTAAGAGATGTTTCTAAACTGGACACTCATCATATACATATATGTGTTGATCCATCTTTAGATCCCCGAACTTTTAATCTTCGTACTGCATCCCAAGTTGCTGCAATATGGCATAAGAATGATGAAGTTGTTGAGTATAGAGAGGATGATATATTGTCCAAAAACATCAAGGTCATTCTGAAAGAATTCAGTATTATTATGAATGCTATGACCCACTAAAATATCCATTTTTATTTCCTCTCGGTGGACCTAGATGGCACCAAGGAATAAAGAAAAAAACAAAAAAAGACAAAAACAAATTTTCCAATGGTCAATTTTTTGTGATGGCAATAGAAGCTTCCAATGCTGATGATTTATTATCAACAAAAGCACAAGGTAAAAACAATAAACAAAAAAGATTACCCTACTCACAACTTATAATATAACAAGAACCTTAAAGTATTTATTTTATTTATTTCAGTTTTTGAAGAGAATTTAAAGAAGAAAAACATGGTTTCAACTCGCAAGTTTTATTGTTTCAAGTTTCAAATATGGAGAGCGATGTTTTGATTTTACTTCGAGCATGTCGCCTTCTATAATAATTTCTTGTTGACATGTATGTTAAGGTAGAAACTTCAAGGTTGGATTACTTAAGGGTAAATCAGAAAGAAATAAGAACAGATGTGTATCAAGGAATTGTTGATAGTATCACAACAAGAGAATCTAAAGCTTCTACTATTGGTCGAAGAATTATTTTACTAGGCTCATTTATAGGTGGTCCAAGAGATCTTCGGAAGCGCTATATTGATGCCATGACTTTAGTGCAACGATTTGGAAAGCCTGATATCTTTTTAACCATGACTTGCAATCCAAGTTGGAGCGAAATCAAAGCGGAATTGTTACCAAATGAAGAGCCACAAAATAGACCTGATCTTCTTGTCCGAGTATTTAGAAGCAAATTTGAGCACTTGAAAAATGAATTTTTAAGAAAAAAAACTATTTGGTCCAGTTGCAGCTTTCACATATGTAATCAAATTTTAGAAACGGGGCCTTCCTCATGTTCATTTACTTATTATTCTTTAGCGAGGTCATAAACTAGATTCTCCAGAAAAATTTGATGATTTCATATCTGTGGAGTTGCCTGACAAAGAAAAGTTTCCATACTTGTACTCGATGGTTGTTAAACACATGATGCACAGTCCTTGTGGTTCTTTGAATTGTAATAATATTTGTATGAAAAATGGCCTGTGTAAGAACCATTACCCTAGAGATTTTATTTCAATGACAACCATGAAAGTTGATGGATACCCTAACTATAGGCGGCACAACAATAATGAAACGGTTAAAGTTCGAGGGCATATGTTGGACAATAGATGGGTTGTTCCCTACAACCCATATCTTCTTGCAAAGTTTGATTGTCACATTAATGTGGAAATTTGCTCTACTATTAAGGTTGTCAAGTACTTGTATAATTCCACATAGTAGGCCAACACAGTAATGAAGTTATTGATAAGATCACAATGTTTCAATCTGCAAGATGGATATCTCCTCCAGAAGCAATGTGGAGAATATACAAATTCCCTTTGAATCAAATTAATCCTGCTATGATAAGCTTGCAACTACACCTTGAAGATTGCCAAATTGTTAGCTTTCGAAAGACAGATAACTTGCGCTCTTCAGCTAACAATGAATTTCTTTCAAGAACAATGTTGGCAGAGTTTTTTGTGATGAATGGAACAAACAAAAAAGTTCAAGAAGGTAAATATTTATGGAAGGAATTTCCTGAATTCTTTATTTGGGAAGGCCAACATAGAATGTGGAATGAAAGAAAGCAAAGGGATGTGATTGGAAGAATAACCACCGCAAATCCAAGAGAAAGCGAGCGATACTATTTGCTATTATTGTTGAATCATGTACGTTGCCCAACTTCATTCTGTCAATTGAGAACTGTTAAAGAAGTGACATACAACTCTTTCAAAGAAGATGCTCTTCAACATGGTCTATTAGAGGATAATGAAAGTCATGAAAAGTGCTTATAAGAAGCAAGTACTTTTCAAATGCCTTCTTTATTACGGCAATTGTTCGTAACAATACTTGTGTATTGTAATCCACATGATCCAAAAGCTTTATTCTAATAATTTGAAAGAACAATGTTGGAAGATCTTTGTAGAGAAGGACAATTATCTACAGAACAAATTCATTCTAGAGTTCTGCAGAATATAAATTCTGCTCTTGAATCCATGGGCAAGAATATTGAACAATTTTATCTTTCAGACCTATCGGTCCCTTCTGATGAAACTGATGATTGCTGCAAAGATATAGAAGATAAGCGCAATATATTAGTGTCTGAGGTTGATTTAATGTTTGTGTCATTGTTAAACACAGAACAACAACTTGCATATTCTAAAATTGTTGATACAGTACTTTCTGGAAAATCCTGGATATTTCTTTATTGATGGACCTGGTGGAACTGGGAAAACCTTTTTGTATCAAGCAATCTTGGCTACAATAAGAATGCACAAATTGATCGCTCTCGCAACTACAACTTCAGGAGTTACTACATCACTTTTGCCTAATGGGCGCACTGTGCACTCATGGTTCAAAATTTCTATAGATGTTGAAAGCAAAATATGTTGTAAAGTTAGCAAACAGAGTGGCCTAGCAAAAATTTTGAAACTTGCTGCACTTTTAATATGGGATGAAACATCGATGGCAAGACGACAAAGTATTGAAGCACTTGATGAATTGTGAAAAGATGTCATGGATAGCAATCTTCTATTTGGAGGAAAGGTTGTAGTATTCAGTGGTGACTTTCGTCAAGTGCAACCTATTGTGCCAAAGAGTACAAGAAATTAATGCATTAATGCTACCCTTATTATGTCTTACAGTTGGCATTCATTAGAGAAGATCAAATTGACAGAAAATATATGGGCTAAGCATGATCCAACGTTTAGTAATTTTTTGCTTTTTGTAGGAAATGGTATAGAACACCAGATATCTTGTAAAACTATAAGAATCCCTAAAATGCTTCTTCCTTACAATAAAAACATTGATCCACTTCAAGAGCTTATTACTTTTGTTTTCCCAAATTTCAATGATTATAATGAAGATCCACTTTCAATGATGAATCGGGCTATCTTGACTCTGAAAAATGACAATGTAGATCACATTAATGAAATATTGATGGAAGAATTTCTTGGAGATGAACACATGTATAACAACATTGATGAGATTGTTGATAAAAGTCAACAGAGCTAGTATGAAGATTTTCTTAACTCTTTCTCTGCTCCAGGATTACCACCGCACAAATTGTTGCTTAAAGAAAACTGCCCATTCTTATGCTTCGAAACATAAATCCTTCCAAGGGATTATGTAATGGAACAAGATTCATTTGTCGCAAATTTGAATAACATGTTATTCTCAATTAAATTGTTGTTGGTGATCGAAAAGGAGATATGGTGTTTTTACCTCGAATACCTTTGCAGCCATTGGTTAAAAAATTGTGTCCAGTTGATTTTACTAGATGTCGATTCCCAATCAGGCTATGTTTTGCAATAACAATTAACAAAGCTCAAGGACAAACTCTAGATACTTTTGGCATCTAGAGCTACAACTTCCACCAAAGTCAAAGTTTTAACAGATACATCAAATTCAAACAATGAATTCCCCGATGCCACGAAAAACATTGTCTACCATAAGATTCTATCTTTAGCTCAATGTAATTAATTTTTCTATTTTTCATGTTTTTTGGTATGTGCAATTCATATATTTGCAATTTCTATATTATATTTATGTTACTCATTTGATATTATTTTTCTTCTTATTTATTATTCCAACTATAGATGTTTTATGTATGCAGGAAATCATGCCCAATCAATTGTTAACTATCAAAAATATCGATCCATCTACAAAACGATGGACAACAAATGTCATGGTTATTTAAAAATCCTTTCCAAGAACTAAATCAAGTGGAATATTGTTTCAAAAGCTCATGCTAATTGATGCAAGGGTATGTTTGCAAAAAAATCTCTATTGCAAATATAAAAATCTTATATACTTCTCTTTTTATTTTTGTCTTTTCTTACTACTTTGCCTTTGCATCTTTATTTTTTTTCTTTCGTATTTTTTTTTAACCATCATATCACTTCTATTTCTTACACTTCTACTTCTTTTTCTTTCTTTAACTTAATAAACATTCTACATTTTATTTAACTTTTCCAATTCAAATATGATTTGGAATCTTTAATAACTACATATTAATTCCAGAATTATATATTAATTATTAAATTCAAACATTGTAGTGATCAAAAGTGCAAGTCACAATCTTTGGTGCAGACATAGAGGTTCTTCGAACAACACTTGAAATCTTTTCCTCTTATGCAATATCAAATGCACAAATCAGATCTATTCCAAAACAGCATCAAATTGTTGAAAATGAATACCAATGGACAATTTATTGACGAACTCGCATAGAAAAAAATCAAAGATGGTTAGTTAACTATACAGAGTTTGAACTTCAACTTTACTACTCTAACTGCACTTGAGGACAATATCCATTCACCAACATTAGCAAATGTTCACTCAGAAACAGTGGTAGATACGCAATCATCAGCACCACGAAAAGATATAAGTAAAATTTATTCATATTTGTCTTCTTTAATAATTGAATACATTACAATACAATTTTATTTACAATTGAATTATATATATATATATATATATTAATTTAGATGTCTTGCTAGCAATACTAGAGGTTCGACCAAAACAGATGAAGAAAAATTTCAAAGACCACAAAGATAAGGAGACTCCATTGCAAGAAATCATTATTATTGATGATGAGTAAGTTGTATCTTTTTCCAAAAATTTTCCTATCATTTTAACTTTAAATGTCTCCATTTGAAATTCATACTTATCCAGACAAATACTAAATGTTTATGTATTCACCAAATAACTTGTTGTATCTAACAATTCCCTTTTCCCAAATTGAAGCCATCAACTCTAACACTTTGGGGTGAATTCACAAAGAATGAAGGTGTATCTTTTTCCAAACTCCCAGGTCCTTTTCCAATCATAATTGCTATGTGATTAAAGGTGTCCTCATACAATGGTAATTTCTATATTCTTCAACATTTCTTACTTTTATAATTATCATACCACTATCGAACTCCTAACAATCAATTTTGTAGGTCTCACTATAGCGACCCCGGTCTTTTCCCATTTGACTATTGTGTCCGGGAATAGGTTCCATAGATTCTGTCATTGTATGATGGTTGTTGTTGTCCCTTATTTTCTCATTTGGAATTATAGGATGTGTTGGGCAGGTTTGTTTTCAGGTTGGTTGGGTTTAGAAATCAAGTGTTGCTGTCCAGTATTTTGGATCTTCGCTCGAGCGAGGAGTTTGTCGCTCGAGCGAGATGTTATTTTTGGTTCTTCGCTCGAGCCGGGGTTTGGTAGCTCGAGCGAGAGGTTGCTCATCAGAGTTTCATTACCAAAAAGTATTACATGTTAACGACAAAAGC